GGGTCTAGGCCTGAAACGTCAGACTTCCTGCTCCTCTGATGCTGCTTGGCCTGCTGTGTTCATCCAGCTCTACACCTTGTTATCTCTCTTTATGCAGCTAAGGGGGACAGGAATGCAGGCGCCTCAGCCTTTTGCAACTGTCCAATCGGTCTGAGGTTCTTTCAGCTTGTCGAGATGAGACTAGGAGCTGCAGGGTGGATAAGCCAAGTGACCATGGTACAGAACGGTGTTCAAGTAGAGAGCGTGAAAAGCAATGCTTCAGCAGTAAGGGACAATATGGTGATGGGGATTGACACTTTTCTCTATTAGATTCCACTGAGAAAGATGGGTCTGAATTCACAAAGTTCTAAAATGAGGAAGGTCGATTTTACCAAGATTAGATACGATTTGGCCAAAATGGACTGTGAGCAGATACCTTTAGGTAAAGCTGTATCAAAGTAATGGTACGTATTAATGAAGGAAACATGAAGCATACAGGGCCAGCATGTTCCAATAAAGACAGGGTGGGGGCCAACAAACCCAGCAAACTAGGGAGATCAAGGGATGTATAGGTCTGGATCAAGAGAAAAACGGAGGCTTATGGCAGATACCAAAGGCTCAAAGCAGAAGCTGTAGAGGAGTATAAAATGTATAAGGGGAAGCTTAGAAAGAAAATTAGAACAAAAAGGATGCATGAAAGTACAATGGCAGGCAAAATAAAGGAAAATCCTAAGTCATTTTACAAGTTCACTAAAGGTAAAAGGATAACTATGGAAAGAGTAGGGCCCAATAAGGATTACAATGGTAATTTGAACATAGGATCCTACCTACATCCTTTGGTTCAAAGTGAATACTTTGTGTTGGTGTTCATTAGTGAGAGACAATGTGGATACAGAAAGCAGAGAGAAGGACTGTGATATACTTACTGAAATTAGCATAAACAGAGAAGGTCTGAGCAGTCTGGCAGGGTAGATGTTGCGATGATGATTTCACTTGTAGGAGGATCTAAAATTAGGGGACATAGTTTTAAATGAGCATCCCCTTACTCTGTAACACGATGTAAAGGAATTTCTTCTCTCAGGGATACTGAATGTCTGGCAACCTCTACCTCAGTGTCTTATGGAAGTTGAATAGTAGTATTTAAACAGGAGGTAAGTAGATTATTGAACCAGAAGAATTATGAGCTGTGAGGAGTGGCATAAAGAGATGAGGCGTAGGGCAGATCAGCTATGATCTTACAGAATCTCATGGCAGGCTTGAGGGTCTGAATTGCCTACTCTCAGAATACCTACAGTATAGGAGCTGGCCATTTCGTCCATTGAATCCACACTGACCCATCTCTTCATGTGATGCTCTATCATTTAATACCTTTCCTGAAATAGTGAAGATTCCTGTATGGAGCTGAGCTTTTATCCAGTTAATTTGCCTGATGGTTTATTCTCCTTTCATATCATTCTTACCATTTTGAAATGAGCCATTGATAAAGTAATTAGATTTCATTTGTCCTAGTGCTGTCTAATTCTGGTTTCTAATGGTATATATGTGATAAGGCTCTTTGCTGTCTCTTATCACTTGGATGATTGCATTATTCCTCTTATAGTCAACATATTTTCATGACCCTGGATAATGTTATCATGCTACTTTCCAGGCCTTCATTTCAGTGATTAAACTAATCACTGATACCTTTTTGCTGCCTGTGCTTAGTACTAACTTAATAGAATGTGTGCCACATCCTTACCCTCTTTCAGGTTATCTTTTCCTACTAGTGGCAACTGAGTCTTTCATGATTAATTCCCACATGAACAGTTATCTTTAAACGTTTATATCGAAGTGTCCTACCCAATTACTTGATCAAACCTATTTTTCCAAACTGATATAATTCATTAAATACATTTCTGCAGGATTTTATTTCAATATCAACACAGATACAAAATTAAGATGCTTTGGTGATTAAATGATCACAATTGCTTAAGAGCAGAACAATAAATTTTCCTGGGACTTTGTAAGCATTTGATCATTATGAAGATCCATTACAGATTACAACAAATCAAACCCTTCAGAGGAATGTTGCTGCACTTTGGTTTTCATTGAATTCAGCAGAACGTTTAGTATCTGTAATGGTCTGGTTTAAAGGGTCCATCTTGAGGAATTCCAAGGTAAGATGCCTGATCTGACGTTAGTTTGGTTAATTTCACTCCCAGTTTCTCTAAGTGCGCAGCTGCCACAGCCTCATCCAGCTGAAAAAAAACAATAAAATGCAACACGTTAAGACATCACAGCCAGTGCAATCTTTTACAAAGAGCTTTATAAAAGAAAAATGGTCGTTTCAGGAGAAAACATTATATCCATCTGTAACATGGTCATAAATTTATTTCGAGTGTTGAAGTAATAAGGTTGAAGATGAGGAGTAGGACCAAGAATTGTGATGTTTCAAAAACTCCAATTCATAAAGTGTGCCCTCAATTGGAAAAGTGACAATGTTTAAAGAGCATAAGACACAAATCAAGAAATTCCAATCCTATTAGTCTAATGTCAGTTGTAGTGATGTTACCAGAACTTTACTCGGGAACTAGAGACTAAACAATTGGACAAAACATGAGCTGATCAGAGAGATCCACTATGGATTTGTAAAGGGTCAAGTACAAGAAACCTATCTGAATTTTTGAGGTGATAATTAAGTAAGAGGCAGTTTATTGGCTTAGGCAGGGTACACACCCACATCCAAAGAATGAATATAAAAAAATACTCAAAGCACAGAGACAGTGTTATAGACAAACATGGAATGATTTAGTTGTACTCTCATGACTCCATAAAAAGAATGTTTAAGATGATTGCTGTTATCTATTATGGTCTGAAGGAATGTCTAAGACCTAATGGAATGAGAGAACAGGTGATGTTTGTTAATTGAGTTTGATTTGTTGTATCAAGATCAGAAGCGAGTAATTACTGGGATGTGAATTTTACGGTCTGTGGCTAACAAATAAAGCTTCCACTGAAAGTGCGGGCAAGGACTCTATTTAAATAGCTTAATGTTTAAATTTGAGGTCTGATGAGGGTATTGCTGTTTTCTCAAAATGAGCCTGATGGCTAGTGAAAGAATGAGCAATGTGGATATAGGATACCAATTTACTAAAGAGGAAGGAAGGTATGGACTTAGCACTTTATGGAAGCAAGACGTAAAACTGGAATAGGAGCCTAATGATTTGAACACTGAGGAAGGTTTGGACAGATATAATTTATCGATGAAAGTTAATGAAAAAAATGGTCTGTTGATTGCTTATGTGACGATCAGATTTTAATAAATTTAGAAAGGCTGAGCACAATATTATGGAAGCAAGTGTTGTTCCGAGAATAGTCAGAGTTGCTCCTTTAAGGAGGGCAACAGAGTACTCCAAGAAATTATAGGCTGGTGAGCGTTACATCAGTGGTAGGGGAATTAGTGAAAAGGATTTGAAAGGACATGATCACATCTGGAAAAGAATGAACTTATTAGGAATAGTCAACATGGCTTTGTGTGTGTGGGGAGAATCAGGGTCGTGTCCCACAAATTTGATTGAGTTTTTTGAGGAAGTGACGAATATGTTTGATGAGGATAGGGCAGTGGATGTTGTCTACATGGACTAAAGCACTAAAGATAACTTACGGTAGGCTGATCCAGAAGATTAAGTCACACGGGATCTATAGTGAGTTGGGGACAAAATTGACTCTATCATACAAGATAGAGGGTAGTTGTGGAGGGGTGGTTTTATGACTTGAGGCCTGTAACCAATGCTGTTCCGCAAGGATCAGTGCTGGGACCTGTTTGTCATTGGTGGACTAGCATTTAAATGTATGCAAGACTGGACGACAGTGTCTGTGGTCGGATTACTAAGATTGCAGCTGACAAAAATTGTTGGGTTGTGGCTAATGAGGAAGGATACCAAAGGATGCAGCAGGATATCAATCAGTTGGTAAGTTGGGCAGTGAAATGGCAGATGGAGTTTAATCTAGACAAGTGTGTGATGATGCATTTTGGGAGGTCAAATGTAAAACGAAAGCATACAGTAAATGGAAGGGCACTTATGAGTACTGATATACAGAGAGATCTTCTTTGCTCCCTGAAAATGGCAACATAGAGTCATAAAGATGTACAGTATAGAAACAAACCCTTTGGACCAACTTGTCCATGGCGACCAGGTATCCTAAATTAATGCAGCCCATTTTTGCCAGCATTTTGGCCAATATCCCTCTAAACTCTTCCTATTCATAAACCCTTCCAGGTGCCTTTTAAACATTGTAATTGTATCAGCCTCCACCACTTGGCAGCTCATTGCACACACACACTACTCTCTGTGTGAAACAGTTACCCCTTAGGTCCCTTTTAAATCTTTCCCCTCTCACCTTGAACCTATGCCCTCTAGTTTTGGATTCCGCTAACCTGGGGAAAAGACTTTGGCTATTCACCCGATCTATGCCCTTCATGATTTTATAAACCTCTATAAGGTGACCCCTCAGCCTTCAATGCTCTAGGGAAAATAACCCCACCCTATTCAGCCTCTCCCTGTAGCTCAAATCCTCCAACCATAGCAACATCCTTGTACAACTTTTTGAAGCTTTTCAAGTTTCATAACATCTTTCCTATAAGCCACAACATGACATCCCAACTCCTATACTCAATGCACTGACCAAAAAAGGTAACACAAGATGGTAAAGAAGGTGTTACCTTCATCGGTAGGGGCATTGAGTATAAAAGTTGGCAAGTCACGTTGCAGCTGCATCAAATTTTAGTTCAGCCACATTTGGAGAAGTGTGCAGTTCTGGTCTCCACACGGTAGGAAGGATGTGGAGGCTTCGGAGAAGGTGCAAAACAGTTAGACCAGGATGTTGCCTGAATTAGAGTTTATTATCTTCAGCCAGAAGTGTCGAGGAGCTGATCCATCTCGGCCTCTTCCAGTGGTCTCCAACATTACAGATACCAGTCCTCAGCCAATTCAATTCACCCAGGACCTGACAACATTCTGGCAATAGTACCGAAGACTTGTGCTCCAGAACTTGCCGCTCCTGTAGCCAAGTTTTTCCAGTACAGTTACAACACTGGCATCTATCTGACAATGTGGGGAAATTTCCCAGGTGTGTCATGTGCACAAACAAATAGGACAAATCCAATTTGGCCAATTAGCACCCCATCAGTCTACTCTCGATCATCAGGAAATTGATGGAAGTTGTCATCAACAGTGCTATCAAGCAGCGCCTGCTCAGAAATAACCTGATTAGTGATGCCCAGTGTGGGTTCTGCTATGTCCACTCAACTCCTGACCTCATTACAGCCTTGGTTCAAACGTGGACAAAGGAGCTGAAATCCAGAGGTGAGGTTAATGACAGCCCTTGATATCAGGGCTGCAAGACCTTTCTCACCCAAATGTTGCACAGCTATGACTGCCATTTTTTTCCAAAATTTAAATGTGTGCATTAGTTATTTCAAGATAATTTGTTAACTTACGCCTGTCATCTTGTGCCTATTTGAATATGGTGTTTTCTTGAAATGAATGCTTCCATTGTGTTGTGCCTTTCTGCTCGGTGGATCAAGGATATTGCTAAATTTGTCTAATTCTGAACATGTAGATGTTTAGATTTGTACATGTCAACTTAAAAACTGAAGCTAATGTTATTATGTGCTTGCATTATCCAAAAATGCCACTTTATGGAAATAAATAGAACCCCACAAAATCCCAAAAGTAGCCCCTGAAAATAGGAAAGGAGCCTTCAAAAGAAAAAGTTATTTTGACCCTGGTTCTGTTCTGGGCACCACACTTCAGCAGGAATATCTTGATGCTGGAGGGAGAGCAATATAGATTAACTTCAGTAATCTGTGCTAGAAAGGTCGAATTACGAGGACAAGTTGTATATCACCGGCCCAGCCGGTGACACTTACATCTGTGAAAGAACAAAATAATTTAAAGGACTTCAAAAGTAGATGGAGAGATGCAATTTTCTCTGGCTGCAACATCCAGATAGGGAGACACAAGCTAACAATTATGACTGGGCCATTCAATCAAGGGTGATTTAGAAAGCTTTTATTTAAATAAGGGTAGTTGAAATTGCTCCCTCAAAAACCTGGCGCAAGGTGGAATGTTAGCAAAATTTCTGTACAAGTCTGAAATGTGGATGCTTTTTTTGACTTGTAGTTAAGCTGCAAAGTGACCTCACACCTTCATGTCATTGGACCAGAGGACGCTAAGGATCCCATGGTGCTATTCAACCATTCTGCCTCAATCAATTGCTGTTTTCAGAGCCTGCTGTTCATTATTGTTGCCCATACGTCCATAGTTAATACAGAACTCCAAATGTTCACTTCACATGAAATACCCAAGATAACTGAGGAATACAGAGTCATAGAGCTGTACAATATGGAAACAGATTCTTCAGTCCAACTCATCCATGCCGACCAGATATCCTAAATTAATCTAGTCCCATTTGCTAGCATTTGGCCCATATCCCTTGAAACCATTCCTATTCATATACCCATCCAGATGCCTTTTAAATGTTGTAATTGTACCAACCTCCACCACTTCCTCTGGCAGCTCATTGCATACAAGCACCACCTTCTACTTGAAAAAGTTGCCCCTTAGGTCCTTTTTAAATTTTTCCCCTTTCATCTTGAACCTATGCCCTCTAGTCTTGCTCTCCACAACACCATGGAAAAAACTTGTCTATTTACCCTATCCATGCCCCTCATGATCTTATAAACCTTTATAAGGTCACCCCTCAGCTTCTGACACTCCAGGGAAAATAGCTCCAGCCTATTCAGTCTCTCACTGTAGCTCAAACGCTCCTACTCTGGCAACAACCTTGTAAATCTTTTCTGAACTCCTTCAGGTTTCACAACTTCTTTCCTATAGCAGGGAGGCCAGAATTGCATTGTATTCCAAAAGTGGCCTAACCAATGTTCGGTATAGCCTACACTCCTATACTCAATGCACTGACTAATCAAGGCAAGCATACCAAATGCCTTCTGAAAAAATTTGGCAAATTCAAGTCTTTTCCATGCTACAGATTTAAAGCGGTTAAAAACAGGTTAAAAAATGATAAATCCAAACTTTGCATATCAAAACCTACAGATAAAATCTGCCTACGGATTCTCATACGCAAAATATAAACCTCACCTTCTTTGGCAGGAAGTGTACACCCACTGGGTACTTGCCAGGGTTGGTCCACAACTCAATCTGTGCCAGAACTTGGTTGGTGAAAGAGTTGCTCATTACAAAGCTGGGATGGCCCATTGCACAACCAAGATTCACCAAGCGACCCTCAGCAAGAACAATGATGTGGCGACCATTCTTTAGCTGATATCGATCCACCTGAAGGCCAGAACACAGCTTGAAACTTAACCTGATTGATTACAAGATTGGGTTATCCCCAAAGCAATGTCAAAACAAAGTTATCACATCCTATACATGTCATACAAATCACCTCGTCACAGCTCTCCCTTCTGGGGGAGAGACTACAAATAAAATGGTGTACATCAGCAAATAACTACAGCAAATGTTAATGGCAGGCATGTGCCATTTGACACGTCTGTTCTTCTCTCGGTCTCCAGATTTTCAAATTTTATATTAGCTTGTTTAGGGAGTAGGTAATACAATAAATGGATGATGAGGACAGTTGCAGATTCTAGGATGACACACAGCATAGTAATAATGGGCAGAGGAGTGGTAGATGGAATTAAATACAGAGAAATGGTATTACAGCAAACTTTGCTTTAACCAGGGAGGTGATGGCCTAGACTATTATCAGTAGATTAAAAACTGAAAGAACTGAGGATGCTGTAAATCCAAACAAAAGCAGATGTTGCTGGAAAAGTTCAGCAAGTCTGGCAGCTTCTGTGAAGAAAAAAAATCAGAGTTAATGTTTCGGGTCTGGTGACCCTTCCTCAGAACACCACGTCATGTATCATCATGTATTATCACTCGATTATTAATCCAGAAATTCTGTTTAAAAAAGGTGGTGGACAAAAGATGTGGAATTATAGGTCGGATAGCTTAACTTCTGTAGTGGGGGAAAAGCATCTTATCTATCATCAAGGAAGAAATAGCAAGGCATCTGGATAGAAATTGTCCCATTGGGCAGACACAGCATGGGTTCATGAAATAACACAGTGTGGACCTGGGGGAACACAGCAGGGCAGTCTGCATCAGAGGAGCAGGAAAGCTGATGTTTTGGGTCAGGACCCTTCTTCAGAAAATGAAGAAGTTCTGCCTGGCCTGCTGTGTTCCTCCAGCTCCACACTGTGTTATCTCTGACCCCAGCATAGGCAGTTCTTACTACCTCTGAATGGGTTCATGAAAGGCAGGTCATGCTTAACTGATTTACTGGAATTCTATGAAGACATTATGAATGCGGTGGACAATGGGTACCCAGCAGATGTGGTATATCTGGATTTCCAAAAGGCTGTTGCGTAAGATAAAGGTGCACAGTGTTACCGGCAATGTATTAGCATGAATAGAACATAACAGCGCAGTACAGGCCCTTTGGCCCTCGATGTTGCGCTGACCTGCGAAACCAATCTGAAGCCCATCAAACCTACACTATTCCATTATCATCCATATGTTTATCCAATGGACATTTAAATCCCCTTAAAGTTGGCGAGTCTACTACTGTCGCAGGCAGGGCAATCCACGCCCTTACTACTCTCTGAGTAAAGAACCTACCTCCGACATCTGTCCTATATCTATCACCCCTCAATTTAAAGCTATGTCCCTCGTGCTAGCCATCACCATCTGAGGAAAAAGGCTCTCACTGTCCACCCTATCTAATCCTCTGATCATCTTGTACATCTCTATTAAGTCATCTCTTAACCTTCTTCTCTCTAACGAAAACAGCCTCAAGACCCTCAGCCTTTCCTCATAAGACCTTCCCTCCATACCAGGCAACATCCTGGTAAATCTCCTCTGCACCCTTTCCAATGCTTCCACATCCTTCCTATAATGCGGCGACCAGAACTGTACGCAATACTCCAAGTGTGGCCGCACCAGAGTTTTGTACAGCTGCAACATGACCTCGTGGCTCCGAAACTCAATCGCTCTACCAATAAAACCTAACACACCGTACGCCTTCTTAACAACCCTATCAACCTGGGTGGCAACTTTCAGTGATATATGCACATGGACACCGAGATCTCTCTGCTCATCCACACTACCAAGAATCTTACCATTAGCCCAGTATTCTGTATTCCTGTTACTCCTTCCAAAGTGAATCACCTCACACTTTTCCGCATTAAACTCCATTTGCCACCTCTCAGCCCAGCTCTGCAGCTTATCTATGTCCCTCTGTTACCTACAACATCCTTCCGCACTATCCACAACTCCATCGACTTTAGTGTCATCCGCAAATTTACTAACCCATCCTTCTACGCCCTCATCCAG